AAAGGCTCATAAAAAAGGGCCAAATACCTGAGCCTTATCTTTATGAAATCCCAGAACCAGGTGAGCACTTTGAATATGTTGTAGTTGATCATTGTGACAAGAAAACAACAAGTGCTAAAGGGGATTTTATGGAATACCTGGACGTAGTAAAGAGATTCAACAAAAAAATCGATCTAGCTATCATCTGAAAAGTATCATTAGTCTCTGTGCGCGCTTTATCAATTATGACAACAGACACCAGCCATTAACTGAATCTTTGTTGGAATCTCTACGAAAGTTAAAAGATAGCAAAGATCCGGATGAAGACGAAATATCAAATATGAAAGATGCCTTAGCTCAGGAATCAGCTGAAAAGTGGGTTAAGAAATATATCAAAAACCTATGTGATAGTCCAAAAAAAGATGAAACTATTATATCCTATTTATAGAAAGAAGCTAGTATTTATGCAAAAAAATTATATGATACCACTTATGCTTTAGCACCTTCAGCCGGTGACAAGGTAGGAGAATACCTGGCTAATAATGCTTATTACCAATCTTACCTCAATACGCTAAATAAGCAAGAGGAATCCATCAGCGCAAAGCTTTCAACATTGTTTAAAGAAATTTCCCAGGGTGATATGGAGTGCAGAGAAGAAATGTATAAATTAGTTACTAAAACCAGTAAGCGCAAATCGAATGCCATGATCTTAGAAAGATATATGTTATCATATAATCTAGAAAATGGGTGTGATTCACTAGCTGATTTGCAGAATACATGGTACAGGATAGTTGGTCTAGAAATTACACGCTATCGAGTATTATTAAAGTTACAGAATAATGAAAAAGATGATTCATCTGAAGCCGATATAGACGATATCATCGAATTATATTATTAAGTACTCTTAGCAGGATGTGGTAATTTTAGCTAAGAAGACTTATAATAATATTGTTTATTTTTTCTCATGCAATAATACTGGCTAACTTCAATTCCTATACCTCTTTTGGCCTCCGATCATACAGCCTGGCCTCGAAAATAAAAATTGCTAGTCTGAATGTATCGGCATAGCATGGCTATAGCAAGCTTCCACCTGATGAAATATTAATGTAAATATACTATATTCCAACCAGGTACATACTTTTGAGATGTAGGCTTCTGCCAATATTTTATATAAAGATTACGCAGAAGCCTACATGAATCAGAAGTTTAATTTGCGAGTACCCATTAGGGAGGATATTCAATATCTCCTACGATTTGAAGCTCCTCTCTTACAAAAGATCTTTCTAGACCATTACCTTTTTCATCTTCTAGCCAGTATAAAATTGGTTGATTTTTTTGTACCCAAGATTTACGAATATAATAAACCTGAGGACTCCAATTCATATCAGTTATTCTTCTTTTAGCAGGACCATGTTCTAGTTCGCCAGGCTTAAGAAGATATCTTACTATGTCAAAATGAGATAAACAAGGTTCATCATATCCGATAGGTCTTCTGTGCTTTACAGCTGGCTTAGCAATAATTTTCTCACCATTTAGTGCTTTTTTTACTGCTTCATTAGGAGACATACCTATTTGCCGAGTAGGGGTGCTATTAAAATTATTATCATTAACATAAAGACTTCTAACCCAATCTTTAGATCTTTCAGATAAGGGAAGTAAAAAATCCTTCACATCCTGCTGAATATAGGCGTGTTTTTCAAATTCTTGATGGTTACATTCAGCAATACCAACACCTTTCTTAGTTACAGCATACTGAATTTTTACACCATGATTAAGTAATAAATCTTTGCACTCACCTAAGTATTCAGTGCCTTTGTCTACGATTAAAACTTTTGGCCAGCTAAGTGGACAATTCGTATTATTATAAATTTTTTGAAACGCTTTGGCTATTTGTGTAGCTGTTTTATTAGTTAAAGCAAAACTGCAACGAAACCTAGTAGCTACATCTTTTATTACAAGCCTATGCTTATAAATCCGCTTACCCACTTTATCATAAGACATAGGTGTAGTATCAGATTGATGTACTTCATTTAAAATTTGTATATTATTAAAGGAGGCATACTGAATAAACTTTGGCCGAGGCTTGTATATCTGATATAAAGCCTGGCGGTTTAGCCATTTTTTTATTACAGATAAAGAAAGCTTATGTCTGGCTTCATTACAAGCATCTCGCATTTTTTCAGCAGTTCGATAATAGCCTTCAGGTTGATAATATATTTCTCGTAGAATAAGATTCTTTTCAATTCTCTAGGCCTCATCTGGATCGATATAAATAACTGGTTCCCCCATTCTGATTTTTTTCTTTTATAGTAAATAAAAATATGGAGAAATTACAACAAAGTAACCAAGAACTCCATGAGGTAGTATCGCAACTAGCAGAATCAAATAGAAATTTTGAAAAACGACTATATACCTTAGAAAGAATTATAGGTATATGAGAAGAAAGAATATGATTTCTTAAAAAAGAATTGAATAGCGCTATCGAACTTTCTATACAAGAGAAAGAGGAATTAATAGAAGAAATCTCAAAACTAAAAAGAATCATTCACCAACTTGAGGAAGAAAATAAAAAGAAAGACAAAGAAATTTCTAATAAAGATATATTAATATCAGAATTCGATGAGCGCGAAACAAAATTAAAAAACCGAATACGAGAAATATCAAAATCAGCTAAAAACACGCCTAAAGCACAAGATTATACAACAAGATTAGTAGATGAAAATGAGTGCCTTAAACGAGAAATAAATACGGTAAGAGATAATCAATTTAAAAGAATTAACAAAATAACCCAACAAAAAAATCATA